GTGCCCGCAGGGACGGCGCTGGTCTGAGCCCTGGCTGGGATGTGGGGCGCTGTCTCTCTCCCACCCCTGAAGATGTGTCTCGGTTGGTCCTGAGGCTCATCACAGGCTGAGGAGCTGATTCCTCTGTGATGTTCCAAGGCTGAAACTTTGGGATGAGGAAGGAATTCTTAGCTGGGAGGGGAACGAATGGAGCTTAATGTTCTCCCTGAGCTCCGGCACATCGTGCCGTTGTACTCACTCGCTTCCGTGGCCTCGGGCTAGTTCTGCTCCTGGCTTTTCGCCTTCTCTCTCCATAAATGAGGCAAATTGCTTGGTGGCTGTGGGCTGACGACTCATTAGTCAGTGTTTATAGAGGCTTCAGAGCAGAAATAGGTGTCTCTCCGGAGGAGCCATCCCCATTCTGCAAGAGAAGAGTTACGAGGTCAGAGGGAGCCGGAAAGCCTCTTTGACCCTCCCAAAAGTGCCGTTTCCTGCTGCTTCGCGCCCGTAGCCGAAGCGGCATCCTGGAGTCGCGTGTGAAATGGAGCAGCTAATGAAGCATTGCCCTGCCTTCGGTGTCAGAAGGGGCTGAAACTGAGGAGGGCGACACGGTGCACGGAGCTCCTGGTGATGAGGAGCCCCGCAGTGTCTCCTACCCTGAGAGCATGGTGGGGTCTGGAGGGTGCCCTGGGCATCAGAGGACGATCCCTGCCTCTAACCGGAGAGCCTGGGGTTAACTCCTTGGCAAGTGTCTGTACTGGCCCTGGTTCATTCCTATTGGAGGGTGCTGGCTTTTGGCGCTGTCCCGCACCCAGCCTGGGTGACTTGGAGGTCTCCTAAAGATGACTTTGGGTAGCTCCTAACCTGTTCTCCCTGGGCTGCTCCCTTGAGCTGGCCCCTGTTAACTGAGCTGCTTTGTGGAGGTGTAATTGAATGCAGGATGTTAGCCAGGAGCTTCTGCAACCTAAGCCAGGCTCTGTGTGTGACTTAGCCTATGGCCCTGGGCAAAGCTCTTAACCTTGCCGTGTTGCTGGGCTCCTCAGGGGTGGAGAACGTGCTTCTCATTAGATCCCCAGGGAATGCTGGTGCCTGAGCTCTCGCTCTGCTGCGGTTTGTGGCACAGCATCTTGGCTTGGGCAAGCTCCAAGAGCTGTTCTCCACTGTGGAGTGCTTTAATACCCGTGCTTTCCCCGTGTGTGTTCTTCTCTACATTGGAAATCCCTCTTTCATATGACATTAGAGATGTCTCATGAGTGCTTTCAGGAGGAAATAGATCAAGGAAAGCACCAGAAAGAGACCTTCTGCCTAAGAGGAGGTAGCATGGAAGGGTTTGGAGAACTTCCTACTCATCTCATGAGCCAAGAAACCATTCCTAAGGTTGTTCTGTTACAGACGGAGCCTAATTGGAGGTCCAGGGGTTTCTTCTTGAGGTCTCTGTGCTGACAGCACACCCGTCCCAAGCTCCAGCTCTTACCTCTTGCTTCAGTCACAAACTGCATTGGATAAAGGTCAGTTTGGGCAAATCCCTTTAGAGGCACTTCTGGATGCTGGTGGGAAGGTGGATCACTGGGTGATCTCCAGCCTGCTGCAGGAGGTAACCTTCTTTTATCACAGTGAGTATTAACAGCTGCTGGTGCTGATGGGGAGGAAAAGACCTCTTTAAAGCACCCAAACCCTTCCCTTATGCTTTATGTGTGCTCCCCTAGAACATGAACCTTGAGAGGCAACATAATGATCCAAGAGGCAGGTTGAAATCCCTCCAAAGTGCACTCCAACCAAAGGTTACCAACTTGATTATCTCCTGCAAGATAACTTCTCTTGCCACGGGCTCTACCTGAGGGAAAAGCTGCATCTCTGTTAATGGAAAATCCCAGGGCAGATAACGGGGGATGTTATCATCTTGTTCCTGCATGTGGCTCATCCTGGAGTCATGGAATGGTTCCAACCCAAACTGTCACCCCCCTTCAACTGAGCTGGGATATAACAGCTTTTGGAGGGAAGCTTTCATAGAGCTTGGTGGTACCAAGTGTTCCAATGTCACCTCCTGATGGTGCAGGGTCATTATCTGTTGGCACTGGAAGTAATCCAGTTTGGGAAGCCCGTTATAAAGGTAGAGCTGAAACACCTCTTTCAATGAGTGGTTGCTCTCAGAACATCACATGAAGCTGTTTCCACTGGAGTTCCATGAGAGTTTAACCATCATCTTCAGGTCTTCTTCCTCTGGTGTGTGGTGAAGATGTGGGACTCACCAGTACGAGGTGGCTTCTGGTGTCCATGAGTGGTTTATCCGTAGCCGTCTTCTAATCGCTCAAATTTGAACCTTTCCAGGTGGGAATTCTGAGTCACCTCACCCGAAGCACGTGTGGGAGCTTCCTCCATGGTCACAGTGCAATGAGGAAGGAGCGTGGGGTCACCAGTTCTTTCCTTACTGCTATTGATCAGTTGTCAAGTGTGGTTTGAGCACAGACGAGGAACCCGCTGTGTGTGTCCCCACCTCCAACGTGCTTCCACTGGAGTGGTTTATCCCTCATCCTACCGGTCTCTTCCCGCCTGGATGCTCGTGTGGTTTGCAACACGTGCTGTACGCGCTCGGCACTCGTGTTTCCAGCACTAGGGAGCAGGGTGTGCCTCCGTGTCATCTCCAGGGAGCCAGCTGTCCACGACGTGTGGGCAGAGCATGCCTGGCTGTACCAGGCACAGAGCTACACCTCGGACAGCCACTGAGGGTGGAACTAAGGGCACACACCACAATTCGTGTGTTCTGAGGCACACGGGGGGGTTTGCACGATCCAAAGTGCACTGAGTTGGTTCAGAGGAGCTGAGGGTTTGGGCTGTACCTCACTTCTGGTGCTACCTGATGGAGACCGTTTCTGTGGTCACAACCGGCTTTAAATCCTGCTGGCAGGGAGCAGCAGCTTCTCTTCCTGCTGGGTTTGATCCACCCTTGGTCTCCATGGTGCCCATCCTGCCTCCTCTCCCCTCTTCCCATCCCTGCTGGCTCTGCAGTGGCACCTCTCTGCTCCACACTGGTACCTCCTGTCTCCCGTTTCACAGCAGCATCACTCTTCACCTCCCTCTGACCTCCTGCCACCGCTTTGACGTCCCTTCTCCTGCCAAGGAGGTGTCAAGAAACTTAACCCTGAGCCCCTTTGTCACCTGGAGGACTCCTCCTTCCAGCCTGGCCCGGCCCACCTCTCTGCTCTGTTCTTGCTGGGGGTGCAGCGCTTGGACCAGTGTCTCCTCCGGTGCCGGTGATCCCCAAGGGCAGGGTATGTACAGGGATGCTTCTGGAAGAGAGAGGAAATGCACTGGGGTTCCTCTGACGTCCCTTTACATGATTAATGAGCTCATTAATCATTAATCTGCTCATTAGTAAAGATTAATAGGCTGAAGGCTGGGTCTGGGTGTGCCTTGGTTTGCTTCTCCTGGAGTGAGAGGGATTCAGAGGTGTGGTGGTGCTTCAAGGACCATGCACGTGAGGACCTTCAGCTCTTCCCCTCCAGCAGGTCAGGTATTACAGGCTGAGTCCTTGTCTATTTTAGATAGATAATTCCAAGAGGAATTCAGGATCAAGCTGCCTGAGGGGAGATTGAGATGGGATCTTAGGAAGTTCTTCCCTGTGAGGGTGGTGGGACACTGGAATGGGTTGAATGGAGAAGCTGGGGCTGCCTCATCCCTGGCAGTGTTCAAGGCTTGGAGCAAGCTGCTCTAGTGGAAGGTGGCCCTATTGGAACTAGTTTCAATCCTATGGAATACTTATGGAATCAATGGATCATGGAATGCTTTGGGTTGGAAGGGACCTTAAAGCTTACCCACTTCCAACCCCCTGCAACAGGACCTTGGGCTCCCGGCCAACGGCCCTGTCACTTGAGCAGCATATTAAGTGCTCATGTAATATTTACCTCTCCATTACAAGAGGTATTAAGGAGGGGAGAGAGTGCAAACACTGGTGTTGAGCCTGCGGGGAGGGGAGAGGAAGCCGGTTCGGGTGACACTGGGATGGAGCACGAGCTGTGTGAGCCAAGCCCTCCACGGCCTGACCCCTGCTAGCCTGCTTCCTGCCCCACTGTGGCCAAGTGAAGCTCCACAGGGAACCATGGAACGGCCACGGGGAGTGATGCTGCCTCATTCCTCCATCCCGCGGGATGCTCCTCACACAGAGCAGTAGCGAAGGAGATGCTGGGGCAAGAGCTGCCTCATGACTTGACACTGGTTTCACCAGTAGGTGAAACGAGAGGGACGTGGCTCAGCGCTTGCCCGGTTAACTCCTGCCCTACCTCCTGTGCCGTGCTCACAGGGTGCTCAGATGACCTCGGAGAGGGACTCGGAGACCACCTTTGAGGAGGATTCTCAGCCTAACGATGAGGTGATGCCCTACAGTGACGATGAAACAGAGGAGGAACTGGACACTCAGCAGCCTGGGGCCGGACCGGGCCAGCCCCACGGCAACAGGGACACACAGGAGAGCAGGGACACCTTGAGGAAAGGTGAGAGTGGGAAGCAGCACAAGCCGTTCAGTCACTGGTTTGTATGTATTTCTGCTTTCTTAGTCTCCCAGTCACCTCCAGCCCTCCTTCTGTAGCCCCTTAGTGGTCTTCGCAGCAGTTGGAGAAGTACAGGAAGGTGAGGGGAGTTCACAGAACCCCATGGGTGCTGCCACCAGGAGGAACCTCATGGAGGAACCTCTGTGGTGTTAACCTCTGCTCAGGGAAAGGCTGTAACTCCCCTGAACACCCCTTCTTTTCAGGGTTGCAGTGGAAGGACTTACTCCAAAATGAGAGGGCTTGGTTAGATAGTAGAGGGCAGTTGAGCACCTCTCATTTGAGAGCCACCAGTACAAGGGTTTGGGTTAGAACCACCTATTACATGTTTAGTTTGGGGGTTTATGATGACTGAGGGAACCCAGTCGAGAGAAGAAAGGCACTTTCCTCACCCCTCAGATCTTCCGGAGTCCTCGTCACAACCGTTGCTCTCATCCCCCCCTCACAGGAATGGGAGAGAACCTGAAATGAGACACGACTTTGGATTCTCCCCGTTAGCTCCATGGAAGCACAAGGCTCTGCTGTCCACACAGTGAATAGCACCCAAGTTGTTATCCCGGCTGTGGACCAGAGCTAGGGATATAGTGGAATTCCTTGGAGCTAGGAGCTAGGGCGAGAGCTTTAAGGAGGTGGGATGTTCCCAAGCAGGCCTGGGAAGCCAGTGCTCTCACCAGAGAGCTTGTAAGCACTTGACACACGTTGTCCATCTTTTGGCTCCTCTTTAGCCTCTCTGGGTTAGTTGATGGCTTTCCCTTGATGTTCCTTTAAAGGTGAGGAATTACTGCTGCAGCTTCCCGTGCTCCCCAGTGCTGGATGCTCTCAGGTCACACCAATCCCATCAAAGCCAAAGCACATCCATGCAGGACAGTTCCTGTGGCTTGGAGAGAAGAGCTGATGGCTCGGGAAAGCTGCATTTCCAAACCCTGCTCCTTATCCCCTTATCCTTCCCAGGAAAAGCCTCCTGGGGGCTGGCTCCAAAACCGGCTGGAGGACTCCAAGTGGGAATGTCTTCGATGTGGGCAGGGCTCAGCTGGTGGCTGTGGGTGCAGGATGAACAGGGCTATTCCCGCTGCAGGCCTGAGGGAGCTGAGAGGGGCTTGGGACAAGGGATGTAGGGGCAGGAAGAGGACAAATAGCCTGGAAACCTCTGGAAAACCTAAGCCTAAAAGGTCGTTTAAATGAAGCTGCTTTAAAAGGTGGCACTAGAGAGAGAACCCGTTTTGTTCCCTGCTGACAGGGAGGTTTTGATCTTCTCTCTTCAGACTGCAGCTGGCAGGTGAAAGCAAACGACCACCACTTCTACCAGCAGCCCCAGTTCAAGAGAACAATATTCCTGTGCTTCAAGAGAAGCAAATACAAAGTAAGTTCTCTCTGGTTTAATTATAGGGAAATACTCTCTTAGTAACAGTATTCCAACAGCTAAAGGGGCTACGAGAAACCCAGAGAGGGGCTTTGGACAAGGGATGGAGGGACAGCACAAGGGGAATGGCTTTAACCTGCCAGAGGGGAGATGGAGATGGCCACTTCATTTACCAAAGGAGAAGCCCTAAGCTTTCCACGTTGGTGCAGTGCTTTCTACTCCTTGGTGTAGCTAAAGCTTCAGTCTGAGATGCTTTTGTGGCCTGTTACTGTCACTGAAATGGCTCTTTTTGTGCCTGGCTTCATTCAGGTGACCCATATTGAGGAAAGGAACAACTCCAACAAAGCTGAGAGGGAGGATTTCCCTGCTCGAAGGCATTGTAGACTTGTACTGTGAGAAGGATCTGCTGTGCTCAATGCTCTTTGCTTGCCTCCTGCAGGGAAATGCCATCAAGACCTACAAGTACAACCCAATCACGTTTGTACCCCTGAATCTCTTTGAGCAGTTCAAGAGAGCAGCCAACTTCTACTTCCTTGTTCTTCTCATATTGCAGGTAAGGAAGACAGAGGGAATCCCACCTGGGAGGTGAGTCTGAGATGCTCATTACTCAGCTGAGTAACATCAGCCTCACAACCTCTGTCTGATGTGTTGAGTGTCTCTGAATTGAACTGATTTCACGTCCCTCTTGTAGTCAATTCCCCAGATAACAACCCTGTCGTGGTACACAACACTGGTGCCCTTACTCCTGGTGCTGGGGATAACTGCAGTCAAAGACCTGGTGGATGACATAGTAAGAAGCACTTTATATTGCTCGAAAAGCAAAGGAAGCAGGTAATATCCGTAACTGGTAGGCAGAACATTCCCTACTCCTGTTTTCAGGCTCGCCACAGGATGGACAATGAGGTGAATAACAGGAGATGTGAAGTCATCAGGGATGGAAGGTTTGTACTGATCCCCTCCTCACTCTGTGGCCTTGGTACTAAGATCTGAAACCAGCTCCTTGTTCTCTGTGTGGAAACCTGAGTGCAAAGGGAAGAGAATTACCCCAAGGAGTAACTCAATTCTATGGTGCTAAACCTGGGCTAAGAGCCACTTAAGAGGAGGAGGACTATATGTGGGTGAAGAGGGAAGAGGTAGGTTGGCCTCTTAAGTTAGACCCTCAACTAAAAGGCAGTTTCCAAAGGGAAAACCACACCTGACCAAGATGAAGTGTAATATCCATTACAAGGTGTATAGAGTGCAGGGTAAGAGTAATCTGTATTAAACTCTCCTGCTATTAGGTTCAAGAGCACAAAATGGAAAGATATCAAAGTTGGGGATATCCTTCGTCTGAAGAAGAACACTTTTGTTCCTGTAAGTGCTTTAGACACTTGGGTTCTGGTTCTCCAGAGCTCTCTGTGAGTCTCCCCTTGGATTTACAGGGAGACCATGGATAACCATCTCCCCTTGATGCTTCCTTCTTGTTCTAGGCTGATATTTTGCTGTTATCCAGCTCGGAACCAAACAGCCTGTGCTATGTAGAGACAGCCGAGCTAGATGGGTAAGGCTCTGTTTCAGCATTCCTTGGATTTCATTTTGCCTTAGTGGGAAAAGAGGAAGAAGTGAGCAATTCAGACCTGGTAACTGATTCCCACAGCTCAAAGATCATTAGAAACTGGTGAGGGATCAGTTGGTGGAGTTGGAGTGTTGGAGAACATCACACATGGAAGAAAGGCTTGGATTTATTCAGCCTGGAGAAGGGTGACTTCATCAGTCTTGTAGGATCTCAGTGCTGGTTACAAAGAAGATACTCCCTCCACAAAGCAGTTGCAACCTGGACTTTATTCCTTTCAACTTCCCTTATTCCCTGTGAGTGGGAAGACAACACCACATCCCTTTCTCCTTTCTCCTTAGGGAAACCAACTTGAAATTTAAGATGGCACTGGAGGTAACACACAGATACCTGCAGGAGGAAGGTGCAATGGCAAACTTTGATGGTTGGTACTGTTCCATCCTTACAACTGCTCAAATACTGCTCCAGCAGCTCACGATGAGTAGGGATGGAGGTGTTGCCAGTGGAAGGAACTGGATGAGCTTTCAGGTCCCTTCCACTCCAACCCATTCCAGAGCACTCATTTACTCAACCCCCAACCCCATGAAGTAAAACTGGTTCTATTCTGGGACAAATCAATGCTGTTTATTAAACGTATTCTCCTCCTCATTTAGGTCTGGTTGAATGTGAGGAACCAAACAACAGACTGGATAAGTTTGCAGGCACTTTGTTCTGGAGGAACACAAGTTATTCCCTGGATGCTGATAAGATCCTACTACGTGGATGTAAGATCAGAAATACAGACTTCTGCCACGGCATGGTCATATATGCAGGTATGGAGGAACATGTGTAATATTTACTCACTCAGTCATGCCCTGGGGAGTGAAATGGCATCTTCATCTTACAAGTAGTGACTGGATTTACGTCTTAGTGTTGTAAAATAGTAGGTTTAGCTCTTGCTGGTGTGTGGTATCATTTCCTTCTCTTCATCTGTAGGTGCTGACACAAAAATAATGAAGAACAGTGGAAAGACCAGATTCAAGAGGACCAAAATTGACTCCCTGATGAACTACATGGTTTATACTGTAAGTCTTTGTGTTCCACCTGCACAGCTGTGGGCTCAGTTCAAAGAGAACAGAGAGAATGGGCACTGAGGAACCATGTTCCCTCTCTGTGTGTACACCACAGATCTTCATTGTCCTCATCCTGCTGTCAGCTGGCCTTGCCATTGGCCACACGTACTGGGAGCAGCAGGTTGGCAACTCATCCTGGTACCTCTATGATGCTGAAGACTTCAGTCCTCCCTATCGAGGCTTCCTGAACTTCTGGGGCTACATCATTGTCCTCAACACCATGGTGCCCATTTCCCTCTATGTGAGGTAGGTAACGCCTTGGCCTTTAACAGGTGATAGGGTTGAACTGACTTCTGTTACTGGTCAACATCTCAGGCTGCTCCTGCAGTCCATGAAGGAACCTGCTTGGAAAACAAATTAAGGTGGAAAAATCCTATTTCGGGGTAATTCCTCAAAGACAGGTCCATGAAATAGGAAGAACTTTGCCTTTGACATTGCCTGTAACATGCTTGAAGTCCTCCAACCTTCTCCTTGGAGGAGAGTGGGAAGGAGGTTAAAACACTGGGAATGAGGCCATCCCTTTGGTTCCATTTAGTGTGGAAGTGATCCGGTTTGGCCAAAGCTACTTCATCAACTGGGACCTGCAGATGTATTACCCTGAGAAGGACACTGCAGCCAAGGCCAGAACCACCACCCTCAACGAGCAGCTGGGGCAGATCCACTACATCTTCTCTGACAAGACAGGAACCCTGACGCAGAACATCATGACCTTCAAGAAGTGTTGCATAAATGGCCAGAGATATGGTGAGGCCGTGTCTGGAGTACATTGTCAAGTGGGTTTTGTGTCCTGTGCCTCCTAACCGTGGTCCTTGCGTTGCAGGAGACTGCCGGGATGGAGCAGGGCAGCTCCAGAGCCACCCAGAGGTAGGTTGGTGTGACCTGGCTGTGTAGAACAGGGAGTGCTCCTTCCACCCTGCCAAAGCAATGGCACAGGAGGTGACTCCACCTCTTTCTCCTTCTGTTTTCTGAGCAGCAAGTGGATTTCAGCTGGAATGTGTATGCAGATGGGAAGTTCTCCTTCTATGATCACTACCTGATAGAGCAGATAAAAGGTGGCAAGGACCCCGAAATACACAAGTTCTTCTTTCTGCTTGCCATTTGCCACACTGTCATGGTTGACATCTCTGATGGTGAGTTAGTAAATGTAGAGGCAAAAGAGCTCTGGTGGGAGTCATGGATGTGAGAAATAAGGGTGGAAGAGTAACAGCCATGGATGTATTTTTCTTCTTGCCACTGTTGTGATGGAACAGGTCAGCTCAACTACCAGGCAGCTTCTCCAGATGAAGGGGCCCTGGTTACAGCAGCCAGGAACTTTGGCTACGTGTTCCTATCCCGCACACAGAACACCATCACTCTGAGTGAACTGGGCACAGAGAGGACATACGATGTCCTTGCTATCCTGGACTTCAACAGTGACAGGAAGAGGATGTCTGTCATTGGTAAGCTGCTTGCAACCAACCTGGTACAGCACAGGTGGCAAAGTACACGGAGGAGAAGCTGCAGTGTGTGAGACTGTGGCTGATTTTAATCCATGTAGCTTTAGAGAGCAAAATGATTCTTGGGTGTTTAAATGCCTTCTCCTGGCATGAAAGGGAAGGGCAAATGCATTTGTCCACCAAATGCTTCAGTGAACACTATTAGAGATGATGAAGAAGAAACATCACCTTGAAGCTTTGGTATTTAACAGCACCAGGGCTGCAAAATCCCACCTGAAACTCTAACGTTTTGTCCCTCTTCTCCTCTTTTACCCCACAGTGAGAGAATCAGGAGGAAACATCAGGTTATACTGTAAAGGGGCTGACACAGTCATCTATGAACGCCTGCACCCGAGGAACCCCAAGAGAGAAGCCACAGAAGAAGCACTGGATGTACGTGTGTGGTTTAGCCGCCTGCCTTAAGTTAAAGATGCCTTATTGCTCACTACAACCTTACTCCTCAGCTCTTCAATCAGCCGTAACCAGGTATTTGTTACTACCTGTCAGGTATTTGCCAGTGAAACCCTGAGGACCCTCTGCCTGTGCTACAGAGACATCACCCCTGAGGAGTTTGAAGCCTGGAATAAGAAGTTCCTGGAGGCCAGTGTGGCCACCACAAACCGTGATGAAGCTCTGGACAAAGTGTATGAGGAAATAGAAAAGAACCTGCTTGTAAGTCAAGTTTGACCCTTTGAATGTGCTGCTATAGAAAAGCCAGATCCCTCTGAAGTTATTTGGGCTTAGATCTTCTCAGCCTTTAGAACCACACCAACTGCTTCTATTTCTGATGCGTTTCCAGCTGCTTGGAGCAACGGCTATTGAAGACAAGCTACAGGATGGAGTTCCCGAGACTATCTCCAGGCTTTCCAAAGCAGGCATTAAAATCTGGGTGCTCACTGGTGACAAAAAAGGTGGGTTTTCATCCTAAAAGCGGGATATGTTGGGATAACACAAGAGGGAGAGGGGCTTTGGCCAAGGGATGGAGGCATGGGACAAGGGGAATGGCATCTCCCAGCTTCTCTGTGCTCTGTATGATGGTTGTTTCTCCCTTTTCATCCCCACTGTGGCACCAAAAGGGAGCTTCTCATTGAAACACAACTTGAGGAACTACCTCAGAGCACTTGGGGTACTTCCTAACACTTGCTCCTGGCACCATTCCTAAGTAAATCCTTTCCTCTTCTTACTTTCTATTGTAGAAACTGCTGAAAACATTGGATTTTCGTGTGAGCTCTTGACAGATGAAACCACCATCTGCTACGGAGAAGACACCAGGCAAGTGGAGAGCACAGGGAAAATGCTTCCCTGTACAACATTAGCCCTATGTTTGTCCCACAGTGACTCCAGGCCTGGATTGAGCTAAGCAGGTCTCTCCCTAGTGCAAATCTTGAGTAGTAGCCAAGGTTTGCTCTCGCTCTGTGAGAACTCCAGCATTATCCCAGCTATTCCTTCACCTCATCCCATGCTCCCCAACACAGACAGACCTATGCCATAAGTCCAAAAGGTAGTTAGTGCTCAGGCATAAAGAATGGTGAGTCCCAAGGGAAAGCAACGTGGGATTGGGAGAAGAACTAGAGCTTTGGAAGTGTCACAGCTATTCCCGAGTCATTTTCCCAACGTTTTCCTTATTGGCAAACCTCTTTGCACAGTTGCTTTAGGCCATCACCTAATACATGGCAATAAAAGTCCTTGCAGCACCTATTTCGTGCAGATTTTAAGGCTGGAACTGATCCAGCTGCAAGTTTATCCTTGTTTTCTCTATATCCAGTGCTCTTCTTCAAACAAGGCTGGAAAACCAGAGGAACAGAGCTGGATCCAGTGCACATTCCTCACTGGGAATGAATGAGCCCTTCTTCCAAGGCAGTAGGGATCGTGCTTTGATAATCACTGGCTCCTGGTTGGTATGTACCAAGGATGTTCTCCTGCCTATTTAGGGCAGTGCTGGATGCACTGGATGATGTTGAAGGTCTTTTCCGACCTGGTTGATTCCCTGATTTCCTCATTTGTTGTCACCCAGAATGAAATCCTGCTGGAAAAGAAGAAGAAGAAGAAGAAGAAGCTGAAGCTGAAGCTCCCCAGGACAGCAGAAGAGGAAAAGAAGCAGAGGGAGAAGAGACACAGGGCTGAGGCTTACAAAGAGCAGCAGCAGCAGAACTTTGTGGACCTGGCCTGTGAGTGCAAGGCTGTGATCTGCTGCCGGGTGACTCCAAAGCAGAAGGCCATGGTGGTGGAGCTGGTGAAGAAGTACAAGAAGGCTATCACGCTGGCTATTGGGGACGGTGCCAATGATGTCAACATGATCAAAAGTAAGGCAGTTGCAAAGCTTCTCCTGATAGGAAAGATCTCCTCCGGGTCTCCCTCTGCAGTCTCTTCACTATTGCTCTTTGAGAAGACTCCTCCGTCTGTTTAACTTCAGCACTTGGGCTCTCTTTGCTTCTATCTGTGCTTTCCCTCCAGGAAATGGATAGTGGGGTTTCCTGGTGGATTTTATGGACCTTCCCTGTGAAGGGGCTTGAATTCCATCTGTAGCCTCTTGTGGGTTACAAAAGGGGAGTATAAAGAACGCATCCCAGTGGGAACGACACTTCTGGGCTGTGCTTTCTGTCGTGAAGCACCCAGAACTGGTAAAGACTTGTCCTTGCTCACGCTGGGCTGTGTCTCATTCACGTAGCTGCTCACATTGGAGTTGGGATCAGTGGCCAGGAAGGGATGCAAGCTGTCATGTCCAGTGACTACTCCTTCGGGCAGTTCCGCTACCTCCAGAGGCTGCTGCTGGTCCATGGGCGCTGGTCCTACATCAGGATGTGCAAGTTCTTAAGATACTTCTTCTACAAGAACTTTGCTTTTACTCTGGTCCACATCTGGTACTCCTTCTTCAATGGCTTTTCTGCCCAGGTAAGGAGGCTGCTTGTGTGTGACAGCATCAGGGGGTGTAGAACAGCAAAACTTTAAGCTGGGAAGTGATGGGAACCTGAAGCTGCCATCCATAGTCCCTGCAGGACAATAGGTGGTTAATGACACCTCGTGTAGGTGCACAGTGGTTTGGGTTGGAAGGGACCTTAAAGCTCATCTAGTTCCACTCGGCCAGGTTGATCCTGGCCTTGAGCACTTCCATGTGTCCAGTTCCAGCAGCGTTCCGGGTCGGGTAACACGGGTGGTTTGGAGGGAGTAGGGCACCTTCACCCAGAGCCTTGAGCTAAGGTGCAGCTGCCTGTTGAGTAAACATGGCACAGGCCATGTAAAGCTGTAGTAGAGCACGTGTGAGCTCTCTCAGGAATCATTAACCCCTGAGGCTCCTCTTCTCCTGCAGACAGCGTATGAAGACTGGTTCATCACGCTCTACAACGTGTTGTACTCCAGCCTCCCTGTGCTCCTCGTTGGATTGCTCGACCAGGTATTGTCCGTGTTGCTGGAGCTGGATGGGCTTTCAGGTCTCTGCCAGCCCATCCTTGGAAGCTTACACCAAGAACAAGAAGTTGCTACGACTTCTCTTTCTCTTCTCCTAAGGACGTCAGTGACAAGCTGAGCCTCCGCTTCCCCAGGCTCTACGTGCTGGGCCAGAAGGATTTACTCTTCAACTACAAGAAGTTCTTCCTGAGTTTGCTTCATGGAGCTATCACCTCCTTGATCATCTTCTTCATCCCGTACGGAGCCTACCTGAAAACTATGGGGCAGGATGGGGAAGCACCATCAGATTATCAGTCCTTTGCTGTCACAGCAGCTTCTTCTCTCATATTTGTGGTCAACTTCCAGGCAAGTCAGCTCAGTTTCCTCAGCTCTGGGTCTACTTTTGACTACTCAAACCATGACAACAAGCAAAAAGCTTCCCTTTTAGGTCTTTTCTTCTCTATTGATGCTCTCTCTGCATCTGATTGAGAGGGGACTCCACCAGAACACTCAGTCCACAGAGGAGTTGCTCACTTGGAGCTTTGCTTTGCTTTCAGATTGGTTTGGATACGTCCTACTGGACCTTTGTGAATGCTTTCTCGGTGTTTGGGAGTATTGCACTTTACTTTGGCATCACCTTTGACTTCCACAGTGCTGGAATCCACGTTCTCTTCCCTTCTGGCTTTCAGTTCACTGGTGAGTCCTTGTGCTTTGTGGTTCTTGTCCCAGAACTATGGCCAAAACATAGTGGTTTTGGGAGTATTCCTTCCCTATCAGTCAAAATGAGCTGGAATTGGGCATTATCCAGCAATTAGAGTCCACAAATGAGAAGCAAAAGGGCTTGGACATGGGTTTGTTGTAGGAAAAGTGCTTTACAAACTCATTCCTATTATGCTCTCCTCATAGTAAAGTCTCAATCAAAGCTTGATGTTGTGCTACACAACACAATACCCGAGTGTTACACCCTCAGGAAAGAAGCTGAGCCTTTTAGTGTCTTGTTCGTGTGTTACAATGAGTTGAATGATCATCTCAGAACCTCACTTTTGCTCTTTTCATGCCTAGGAACTGCTCCAAATGCCCTGCGACAACCGTACCTGTGGCTCACCATGATTTTATCCATTGCTATCTGCTTACTCCCCATAGTGGCCCAGCGTTTCTTAGCCATGACAATTTGGCCTTCAGAAAGTGACAGAGTGAGTAAAGTCTGATGTTGCTTTGCTTAATGTGGCAGGGGTTTGCTGACAGGAGTTGGCACTGGTGCTGATACCGGTAGAATCAGGGTGCTTTGGGTTGAAGGCACCTTAAAGCTCATGTGGTTCCACCAGAGCTGGTTGCTCCAGCCTGGCCTTGGACACTGCCAGGGCTGGGGCAGCCCCAGCTTCTCCATCCAGCCCATCCCAGTGTCCCCCCACCCTCACGGGGAGGAACCCCCCAGTCTCCCCTCTCAGTCTCCCCTCTGGCAGTTAAACCCGTTCCTCCCACCGCGACCCCTCTGCGCCGCTCGTACCTTCCTCGTGGTCCATAAGGAATCTCTTCACGCTCCTGCAGATCCAGAGGCATCG